TGGTGTTCCAAGCCGACACCCCCAGCTCCCTCAGTCGTTCCTCACAGGGCTGGTGTTCCAAGCCTTTCACCAGCCTCGTTGCCTCCTCTGGACACATTTGAGCATCTCAAGGTCCTTCCCAAACTGAGGGGCCAGAACTGGACACAGCACTCAAGGTGCAGCCTCACCAGTGCCAAGTACAGGGGAAGAATGACCTCCCTGCTCCTGCTGGCCACACTATGCCTGATAGGAATGCCAGGATGCCTTTGGCCTTCTTGGCCACCAGGGCACACTGCCAGCTCATGTTCAGTCGGGTGTCAACCAGTCCCCCCAGGTCCCTTTCTGCCTGGAATCATGATTTAATTCAGGTGGAGCTTATCTTAAGACACTAAATCTATGTAGTGCATCAGTTCTCTGTTTCTTAATAAGTACTTGAGTATTTTAGTTCACACAAGGCAGTTTCTCTCTGCCACAGTGCAGTCACCAAGTGGCAGCCACTGGCCTGTGCAGGGGTTAGCAATGAGTCAGTTCTCAGCCTCAAACCAGCTAAGCCAACTGCAGGTCTGGCTGTGCCCTGGTGAGACTTGACCAAAGGGGTGTCTGTGGTGCAGGAAATCTCAAAGGGTCTGACTCAGGTGGTGAGTTCTGTAACAATGCCTGTTCCATGGGTTCTGGATGGTAGGGATGGGAATTGGAGCAGCAGCCACTCTGTGGTCACACACACTTGTCTGGTCTTTGAGGAGGGAAGCAAACATGCCTATTCTTGCTCTCTTTAAATGTGTGCAGCAATGGGTTTGGCTTTCAAGACAAACTAGTGAAAAATTAAGCCCTGGCTTCTAGGACTTTATACAAAGATGGTAATCCTGCTCATCATTCCAAACATTCACAGAAAACCATATTGGTTTCCTCTGCTGGGAAAACTGCACTACTTTATGATGTCTGTTAAAACTGGAGAGAGCTTATAAACTTAAACCTGTTGCAATGCTTGAATGTCCACAGATCCACTTGGCCAGATAGGATTCATCCCAGAGTACTGAAGGAGCAAGCAGGACATACAGCACGACCCCACTTGATCATCTACAAAAGATCTGGGAGTCTGGACAGGTCCCTGCTGACAGGAAGGAAGCCAATGTTATTCCAACCTACAGAAAGGGCATGAGGGAAGAACACTGGGAACTGCAGACAGTGAGAGTCTGGGTTCCTGGAAAAATTGTGAATATTATAAATTAATTAATATAAATTGTGAGTATTATACTGGATACTGTTGAAATGAGTTTTAAGGAATAATGCAGCCATCAGGCAATGGCAACATGGGTTCACAAAGTTGAAGTGTCATCTAGCTAATTTGATACTTTTCTGTGATAAGGTCACCCACCTAGTGGGTGAAAAGAAGGCAGTGGATGTAATTTTTCTGCATTTTAGTAATGCTTTGGACACTGTCCCTCACAGCATCCATCTGGACAAGCTGTTCAGCTGTGGGATTAACAGGTTCATGGTGTGCTGGGTGAAGACCTGGCTGAAGGGCAGAGCTCAAAGGTCTTACAGTGAATGGGGCTACCTCTGCTGGCACCTGGTCACTAGCAGTGTTGCCTGGGGCTCAGTTCCAGGGCCAGTCCTATCCAATGGACTGATCACTGATCTGGATAGAGGAGCTGAACACACATTAGCAAGTTTGGTGATGATACCAAACTGGGAGATGCTGTTGGCAGATGCTTTGGATAGGGATCTGGATAGACAGTGAACCTCCTTGCTCTCTGCAGCTCCCTGACAGGGGAAGTGCAGAGGGAGGTGCTGGTCTCTTCTTCCTGGGATCCACTGACAGGACACATAGGAATGGCTCAAAGGAGCACTAAGGGAGGTTCAGACTGGACACTGGGAAGCATTTCTTTACCAGGAGAGTGGTCAGGCACTGGAACAGGCTTGCTGGAAAGGTGGTTGATGCCTCAAGCATGTTTAAGAGGCATTTGGACAACATGCTCCATCCTTAAATGGATGGAGACACTCCAGGCAGTTGGAGTGGATGATCTCTATAGGTCCCTTTCAACTGAAATATCTGTTCTGTTTTCTTATTCCTCCATATTTACTGCTGTTGTCTCGAGGTTAAATGCAGTCCTGAGTATTCACAATAGAGTATGTCAGCTGTGATTTTGGTTTTTTTTTCATGCTGCACATAATGTTCTGAAAAGGCAGTAACTGTCAGTAACTTTCACATGCCCTCTTTCTGTTTACCAAAACCAGCTCCTCCTTGCTCACAGGATGCCTGCAGTGCAGGGAATCACAGCACAGTCATTTCAGCCATACAGAGACTGTTGGGATTTTGCAGGAAATGCAGCATTTTGCAGTGAGTGGCTGAGAAGTACTTACTGTGTGACCCTTGGTCTTCTCTGGAGGATTGTATTTTGTAGTGACAGGGCACTGAAACCTGACGAGACCAGGATGGAGCAGTATCATTTAATTCCCCTCCCTGAACAGGGCAATTTCTGTTGAAGTTCTGTGTGTCTGTTTTCATTCTGTGAGTGGCACTAAGTGATCCCGTGGCATTGGTGTGCGATCAGGAGACTGCTGTGACAAGAAAGGTAGGCAGACCTCTCTGAGGGCCTCATATCAACACATTCATCCAAATTCTGATATTTACACTGCTGACTGGCCTCTAGATAACTTTAATTAAAGAAAAATTGGATCTGTTGTGTAGCCTTTTGGTGTAATTGACTGCCCAAGATGGGCTTTGAATGTTGCATCTGGCCTGGTCCTCTGGTTTGAGAGCAGCTTGTGGGTTTCAGTGTCTGTCATGTTCATGCTCTTTTGTCTTTAGGTGGGACAGTGGGGGACTGGATATTTCACATCAAAGGACAGGAAATTAGATGTTAAATTTCTGTTACTTTTTAATAATTAAATTGTTTGGTGTTTTCGTTTTCACTGCAAACGAATCCCACCTGCCATCCCACATCCACCAGGTTTCCTGCACTTGGTTTTGTGGGTCAGTTTGTGGCACTGACACGTTGGTGTCTGTCCTTCCCCAGGGCCTCAGGCTCTGCTCTCAGGAAGAGGAGCAAATGCAACATCTCACGAGTCCTTCTTTTCTTCAGTTTTCCTTTCCCCTCCCATTGAACCTGTGGTCTTTAGCTGTCAGGTTGGTAAGGCTCACCTTACCTTGATCTGTGCTTCGAGAGGGCAGTTTGAAAAAGCAGCTTCTGCTTTTAATCAGCCAGAATTATTCTGGTTTACTTGTTATGAAAACCATTTGCCAAGCAAACACATCTTCTTCAGCAAGCATCAATGACATCAATTTTCTTTTTCTTCTGAGGACTACCCCACAATTAACAGTTCCTTTTTTTTTCAAGATATACATGGAAAAGATTTTGTGAGTTTAGCTGTGATTTGTTAGCCTGAGAATGGCATTTTCTTTTCCAGAGTACTTTTTTCAAGGTTACTTACACAGAGCTTGTTTTGGCTTTGAAGGGAGGAAAAATACCCCATACCACTTAATTTAGAAAAGTCAGCAGTGGAAGGGAAAGGTTGGGCACTAACTCTGGGGTGGAACTGCCATAGCTGATTGGCATTGTGTGGCTGTGGGTTTCAGCTTGGCCTAAATTACTTCAACAAACAATAGTAAATAATATTGGGCTGGATTGCATGTGTGTCCATATGAATCCCTTAAACAGCCTAGGAGAGTAAGAGCAGAGATAGACTAATGTGAAAGCAGGCAATAAAATAGTGATGTGTTAATATTTATATGATATACCTTTTTCTTGAGAGAAAGGACCTCATTTAGGAACAGTTAAAGAAAATGAGAACTGGAGTGATTTGAGTTGGGGGCTGGAATGGGTTTTCCAGCTCAGACTTCCAGTTTATCACTGTGGTGCTGCCCAGGTGGAAGAGCACCTCTCTGAAAAAAAAAGTAAAAGCAGGTGCTAGTCTCGAGCCTCTGGAACTTTGCACAGATTTCCTACTGCACTTTAAAGCTGTGCTGCTGCTGCTACTGTGCTTGATGTCTGTAGTGCTGTTGCAGGAAACAAGGCATGTGGCAGGGCAACTAGCAGAGGCTGTGGCTGGAGAAGAGGGGCCATTTAATTATTTCTATCTCCTGTTGTCTTTTCACCTTTTCTGAGGTACTTGTGCAGTCCTGGCTCAAGGACTCAACCAGACTTCCACTGTTTCTGGATGACAGTGTGCTAAGAGCTGTCATCTCTTGCTGTTCCCTTAGTAAGTTTCATGCTCATCACTTTAATAAAGATCTAACTTCTCCTGGCAAGACAGAGTAGCATTGGATCTGTTTGTGCCAGATCAGTCCTATTTGTTTTGTTTGCTGACACAATGCTATAAGGAGATCCACTCTTTGCTGTCACTTGACCTGTTACCACCTCCTGCTGTTCCCTTCTCCCACTGCCGTGATCCAGCATGGGTAGCAGACACAGGTTTGTGTGAGGGTGTTTTCAATTTCCTACAGCCTCTGCAATGCGTAAATTGGAAACCTCAGAGCACAAGGCTTTATTCCCACTGAGAGAAGGTTCCTCTGTGAACTGGAGAAAGATTCAGCAGAGGTTTTTGGACTTGACAATACAAATTCATATTCTCTGCGAGCAAGCCCTGCTTAGTTACACAGACACCATTTATTACTTGCTGATACCAGTTTTTCTGAGATAATTTTTTTTAAAAAATACTTTTTTTCCTGCCTCACTAGAAGTATCTTTATGAGAATGTTTCCAAGTTTGCAATATGTGCTGCTGTTCTGGCACAAGTGTGAAACAGTAGAGCTCATGGGGGGGGTTGGACCTTGTTCCTGCCTGCTCACTGTGAGAAGGGAAGCAAGTATGGATTTTGCCACAGGAGATTAATCAAAGATGCTGTTGCCCTCCACAATGTAAATTATTTATATTCAATCCAGAGTATTCTGCTGTGCTTCTGTTTTATACAGCTATAAATGACTTGGATACAGTCCCAGTGGAAAGCCCTTACTATTTTGTAATGGAAAATAGGAACTCTGCAGTAGAAATCTATAATGAATGAACAGGAACATCATCTTCCAATTGTAAATAAGATCTTGCTCTGTTTATTTTGACATCTTTTTACAAATGTGTTGCATTCAGGTGTAAATATCCCAAACCATGATCTTGTTCAGAGTTCTGAGATTTCTATTGTTAAATGTAATACTTTGTTTAATAGTTGTAATAATTATTTGTATAGATATGAACATGATAGTATTTTATTAAAAAAAGATAAAAACACCCTTTGAATATTGTGTTCTTTCTTTCCCCACAGACAGCAATGCCATTCACTCTTAAGTAGAAATAAAAATAAAAGCTTTGCTTTGAGACTGGGAATTTACAGTCAGAGTTTTCCACTGATGTACATTCTCTGCATAGACAGAGTAATGCACCATATTAGTTGGAGATATGTAATTCAGAATAAATAAATACTAATTGTGCAGTATCTAAAAAATACATGGCAGGTGCTGTCCCTGCCCCAGTGACTGCAATCACTGTGGAGATACAACTTCATTGTATAAAATGCTTCTCATCACAGTCCCCTTGCATTGTTTGGAAGTGCCCTAAGACAGTTCTTCTGTCACAGTTTGAAGCTAAAAGCTGCAGTTTGGATGAGAGCAGTACAGAGACCCTGCAAGGTAAGTAAAGGCTTTTTCTGGGAGTTTGCACAATACTGAAGTTGACAGAATTACTATGAAACAATTATTTTCAGGGGCTCCAGAAAACCTGGCTTGTAAACCTCAAAAAAATTCTTGCAGGCATGGAAGTTGCCTTTAGGGAAGATCTTAATTTAAAAACAGCTGACGTTTAGTATTAAGACAGAGGTGCTTTTGATCCTTGAGTGACAGCCAGTGTGATGGTTCAGTTGTAGAGGGGAGGGGAAACAGGACACGAGGGAGCTGCCTTCCTTTTCCACACTGCAGTGCATTCCCCCTGCCTTAGCTGCTCTTCTGCCAGGCCAGGGGCTCCAGGGGGAATTGTAACAGCTCACATACCCCCAGTATCTTTCCTAACCTGTGAAGGGATGTCAGTATTGTACAGAAGCTGTTTCCTTCTCCTTTCACTTGTACTGGGATGAACAGTTTTACCTACACTTCCTGAGGAAACAGGGAATATCTGGAATGTAAGGAAGAAGTTTTTTACAATGGGAGTGGTAAAACACTAGAACAGATTGTCCAGACAGGTGGTGGATGCACCATCTTTAGAAAGGCCTGGTTGGATGGGTGTTTGAGCAACTTGTTCTGAGGAGGAGGTGTCCCTGCCCATGGCACCATTATTTCCCTTTCAAGAACTGTGACAGCAGCTTCTCCCAAACGTGGGCACAGCAGCGCGCTGCCACCACTGGCAACTCGGGCTGCTTTGACAGTGCCAATGCCTCCTGCAAACTGACATCAGGAACCTGGCCTGGTGGGTTTTGTTTGCCAGGGAAAAGGGCTGGTGTTTGTGTCCAGGGGCCAGTGGCCCGGAGTGGCCGGCTGCCTGCTGAAATTCCGAACGTGGCAGGATTCCTCCCAGACCCAAGGTGCCACCACAGGTAACTGTGGCTGGTTTGACAGTGCCAAGTGCCTCCTGCAAACTGACATCAGGAACCTGGGCTGCTGAGTTTTACTTCCTGGGGATGGGACCTGCACATTTGTTCAGGGGCCTGAAGCCCTGAGGGCCCGTCTCCCTGCTGGAATTCTGCATTGTGCAAGATGCCTCCCAGGCCCAAGCTGCCATCACTGCCATCTCAGGGGCAGTGACTCCATGGGCAGCAAAATGGCCCTCTCACCTCCCAACACAATTCCACGGTTCTGCTCTGCTTTTACCCCTACACATCTGTCTCCCTCTGTGAGCAGAGCAAGGTGAGGAAACAACAGCATGACCCCTGCAAATTAGGGAATGAGGGTCCCCCACGTACCCAGCAAGCTGCTCTTCCTGCCCAAGGGCAGTGGCCCAAGAACAGCAGCACCCAAGAAAAGCTGCATTTTTGGCACGGGCTGCAGAGCCAAGTGTGCCTGGGACAGCTGGGAGCACAGAGTGCCCAAGTGCCCAGCCAGGCCCCCCAGCAGTCGAGGGGTCAGGTGGGAGAGCTGAAGCACCAAAAGAGCCCAGCAGGCAGGGCAAAGCTAAGAGGGAATTTTAAAAATTGACGCAGCAAGCTGGAAGCATAGAAGCAGCAGGGAGACGATTCCAACCCTTCTTCCCATCTCTCAGGCCTGAGGTGCCTTTCCTTGTATTTAACTGAATTCTGTCATGGTTTTCTGTTTGTTCTGTGCTGTTCCCCAGCCTCCCTCTCCCTCCCTGCTACCACCTTACCATTCCATGCTGTGCTCATCTCTGCTCAGCACAGCAAGCCCATATGCTGTTCTACCTCCTACGTCGAGCCTTCCAACTGCTGTTCAACATTATTTTTTCCTCACATTTCAATTTAGAGAAGATAACCAGCTTCCTGTCTAGAAACAAATACAAGCTTGGAACATGATCTGAGACTACGGATTATGAAAACACAGGGAGAAGGTATATTTTTTAAAAATGTGTCCCCAGAACTGGACAAATGTGAGGGCACAGAGGTCCTCCTTCAGTGTGGCACAGCTACCCCGACACCCTCCAGGGCAGCACAGCTCTGCTTGGGAAGATAAAGGCTGGCAGCCTCTTGTGTCATTCCTCCTCCAGCCCTCTCCTCACCCTGCCAAGGGACTCCAGTGACAAACAAGAGTGTCTGTTCTTTACTATAGGTAACCTCACAAAGGCAAATTGCTTAAGAGAACAAGCATGTCATCCACACCTATGCTCCAGAAACACCTGTGACAGTCCCAAGGGTGGCTTGGGACTGTCACCACTGGGCACCCCTCTACCCTGACTGCTGTCTCTGCTGCTGCTGCTGAGAGCAGGAGCCAGAAGAATTCAGATCAACCTGCAGAGCAGGGAACCAGGAACATCCATTTTATTGACCATCCCAATAAACTTCAACTAAAAAAATAAAAACCAGCTGGTGCAAAACTCTTCAAGGAGATACAGATTCTTGGAGTAAAACATCACCAGAGTCACCCACTTTAGTAAGCAGAAGTGGAATGAAACCTTTGCATCACTGGCTACATGCACATACACCAACGTAAAAATGCTCAGGCAGACAAGAATAAGGACAGCAGGCCTCAAAGAACACTTTTTAATTGCAAATTAGCAAAACAGGTCCCAGTTTAGATGCAAGGCCTGAAGTAATTCACACCTTACTCTTATTCTTGGTTTTTTTTTTTTAAATAACTAAAAAACTGGAAAGAATGCAGAAGCCATTAAAAAACTCATTTCTGATTTGGACAAGCTGGAGAAGAAAATTTGGTCCACATCTTTAGCTAAAGAGCTCAATACCAATTGCTCCAAAATCTCCTTCATCCTCCCAGCCCATAAGAGAATCTACTTAGCCAAGTTTGTCCAAGGCAAGCTCGTGAGAGGAGAAAGTCTGAGGCTGCTGGCAAACCTCCCTGTCCCACCGTGTCCCTTTGGCAAGGCACCCAGCAGGAGCCAAGGGTGTCACACGAGGCTGTGGCTTTGCCGTGCGCTCTCCCGCGGGCAAAGAGAGCCTTGAGGAGAGCACATGTGGAGCCATGACAGAGAGCAGAGCACGGCCAAGTGCCAGCAGGAGCTGCCAGAGGAGTTGTTGTTGTTCAACAGGAGCGACAGAGAGGCTGCACGAGAGCAAGGTAGGAGGCTCTGAGTCTGGCAGAGCCCTCACAGGCAGCTCTAGTTCACCACCTCCTACCGACGCTGCAGCCTTGGTACCACGGCTCCCCACCAGCTAATGAAGGAGTGTCTCCAACAAAAAGAGGAAAAAAGAAAACACAGTCCCCTCACTGCCACCTCAGTTTGGAGTCCTTTTCTCCCTCAGCTGCTGCAGTACAGGAACCAAATGCTCCCCCTGTGCTGCTGAAGGGACTCTTGGAGGGCAGCAGCCTGCAGGGTGCAGACATTAGCTCCCTGTGCAGGAAGGTTTGCATGGCACTCTCAAGCCTGCTCACCTGAGAGGAAGTGGAGCACATCAGCAGGAAGGAAGGGAAGCAAAGGTCTCTGACATGCCTCCCTCCTGTTTCCTCCCCCCTCACTGGCTCCAGCACCCACTGCACCCACAAGCCAGAGGGCTGTGCACGGGCCTTGGCCTCTGGATCAAGCCAGCCCCAGAGGATGTGGCAGGAAAGGAGTAACATCATCTTCCCTCCTGGTCCCTCCTCACTGCCACAGCACCCCTCCATGCCTGCTGGGGGATCCAGTGCCCCTGCTCCCACTGGGCTGTTGGCCATGGAAGCAGGCTCATTCTCCACAGATACCAGTGGCCCAGTGCCTTTGGCTGAGTGTTTTGGGACACCTCTGCGCCCCTGTGCCTGGGGACTCAGAACACTGGGATCTTGTCCCTGCGCACCGTATCCAGGTCATCGTCCAGGGTCAGCAGGACCTGAGGAGGAAAATGCAAGCCAGATTCAGGTCTTGCTGGCCAGGGAGGTCTTCCTTTCAGATCTCCAGGCCTTGCCTTTATGGCAGGAATTCACAAATCCATGAGTCATTGGTCACAGCAGCAGCCCCTCAGCTTCCCCACAACAGCTGTGTGACCCAGAAGGAAGCTGAGGCCAGCAGGCACTGGGAGAGAAATAAGGTAAAGGAGAAAGCCTGATCCCTGATCCCACTGACAAGGAGCATCCCACCGTGAAGGATGTTTGGAGGTAGAGCCAAGCAGAGGAGCTGGGGCACTTCTGTGGAGTTCTGGAGCAGGCACAGTTCCATGTGCATAGAGGGGAGCAAGGTGAAAGGAGAGGGTGAGGCCATCCAGCAGAGTGGGAGGCTCAGCAAGACTCACCAGAAAGGAGAAGAACAAGGCAGCTGCGGAGAGGAAGTGCCAGACATCGTGGTCATCAAAGAATCCCAGCAGGATGCACGGCCGGTTCTTTTCCCGGGACTCTGCTGGAGTCTCCTAGGAGGGCAGGCAGAGGGTCAGGATCTGATATCCACCCCTACTGGGCCCTTGCTGGCCACACTAGACCCAACAGGGATCACCCTATCTTAACCCTCCAAGCAGGATCCAGGAGAAGTTGCTGTGCTGGCCAGAAATGTGGCACGGGCAGGCCAGAAACAACACAATGTTATACTTGGACTTCCAAATGGATCTGGAACCCCAACCCACATGCAAGGGGAACCCTCTGGTCTCCACTTCTGAGGTCCTGCATAGCACAAGTTGCACAGCCTCCACCAGACCACCCTGCAACAAGCCCCTCATTTCCATGGAGAGGTTTGTGACATCCTGTTAGAAGGCACCCAGTCAGGATTTAATGGCATCCCAGGTCACCAAGAGCCCTAACAACCCCAGGCAGGTTGACCTGGTCAACCCCAGGTGGCCATCTGCTCCAGCAATGTCTTCCACCAGCACTGGTCAGGATTTTCCCAGTTTTCCTTCCAGATCCCCAGCTCTTCCTTTGTCCCCTAGGAAGGACCAGTCGCCTCCAGATCACCTGGTTATAAACAGCCCCTACACAGCTACAGTCATTTTTGGCTCAGCACAGCTTCCCATGCTCCCTTCACAAGTCTGCTAAATGAGTTAAACCCTTTCAGCTCCCCAAGAGCAGCCCAAGACTCATCTCCAGAGTAGTTTTTGTGCAAAACAAGCACCAGGAAGGAAAGATGATGAGAAAGAGATGGACAGAAGAACAGTAAAAGGGAGATTTACCTCCCAGCTGCTGAGGGTCTGGAAGAAGAAGTAGAGGGCAGCTGCCCACACCACTGCTGTGGCCACGATGCAGAACATGGGGATGGGCAGGAGCTTCTCAGAGCTGCGGAGCTGCAGACAGGGACACGCCCTGAGTTCTTTCCAGGGCACAGAGCCATGCACAGAGCTCACACAGCAGCCTGTACCATCTGCATTTGTGAAGGGCTGCCCACCCCCCAAAGATACAGCCCAGCCACCCCTAAAATGGCTGCACACCTTCCTTCTCCAACACCCTGTCCCACCCATAGCCCCACAAAGGTCCCTCCACATCCCTCTGCAGCACCACAGGAACTCAAATTGCAGCCAGAAAAAAGGCTCATCCCTTCCCCTTTGGAGCCAGAAGCCCCAGGGACAGCTGCAGCTGCCTCCCATTACCTTCATGATGATGTAGAAGGCCAGATACAGCAGCAGGTTACAGATGAAGATTCCCAGTATGTAGGAGGCAAAGTCTCTGGGCCGATACACCAGCCCAAAGATAGCACTGAGAGAGAGAGAAGGGACATCAGGCAGCTTCTTTCACTGGGAACAGGGTACATCCCCAAACTGACAGCCACCCACTGTTCTACCCCCACCAGGACTGCAGGACACAACACCAGTGCCACAGCTTCCCAATTCCCTGGGGGAAATGCACTGTTTGCCTCTGCTCCCAGCCAAGGAAATTTAGCCATGGTCAGATGCTGAAGCAATTGGAGACCCCAGAGGACAGGCAAAGGCCCTGGATTGCTTCCAACCCATGTCCAAACACATTTCCCTTGGTAGGATCTGGCCCTAGACCTGTACATTTGGTAGAAGGCGTCCCTGAGAAGCAGCCTCAGTGAAAAGCAAGAGCCTGGGGCAATGACTTTAGCTCTCATCAGAGAGCTGATCCCTCCCATGCAGTTACTGCTCAGCCAGGCTCTGTGACTGAGTGCCTGCCAGGTCTCCTGCACCTTGGCTGTGCCAGAGATCTCCCAGCTCTGTGGGAAGCACAACACAGCAGCACAGTACCTGCACAAGCTCCTCAAACACGAGCCATGAGACACCCCCAGCTGAAATGCTCAGGGGATGCTCCATGTAGCTCTGGTGCTGCACTGCATCCCATGGATCTGCCTGCCAAAACCTGTCAGAAGGGCCCCAGCACAGGATCATTGCACAGACACTGCTGCATCTCCCCAGGACTCCAGGCCACCCGTGTCCCAGTACCAAATCCTGCTGCCCACAAAGCACCAACACGCCAGTACTTACAAGGACCAGTTGACCAGGTTCCCAACAATGAGCAGCACCATCCTGTCCTGCAGAAAAGACACTGATGATCATATAAAATGGAAAGAGTATGCAAAAAGGCCTTTGCCTCAGAAATTCAGGAGAGCATTATGTGAGGATTTGGAGTCCAGTTCCTGCAAACAAACATGCACCTGGCTCTGTGGGAGCTTTTATCGGATGGAAACTGCTCTGACCCTCAAAAATTTTAAGAAAGTGTTGTAAGGAGACTAAACATCTAAGAAAGGACAAGCTCAGCATTTAAGGGATCAACCTCAGGAGGTTCTGTGAATCCTTTGACTGCTTCTACTGTTTTTCTAGTTACATTCCTTCCTTCCCACTGTTTTACAAAACAACTACTGCAGAAAGCAGGACGTGCTTGAAAGAGGTAGCAGGGGAAGCTTTGGACAGCATCCTGCACATATTCAGGGAGCCTTTTTTTCCTTGCCATCTCACCATTAGTTGGGGAAGCACTGTAACAACAGCAGGCAGAAGGACTGTATCTGTGGAGCATATGCATTTATGCTTACAGCTGCTTTCATGATGTGGCTGTTTCAGGCTGGCCAGGCTTACTTCATGCCTGAGTGGACCAAGTTTGCTTATTCAGAGATAGGAGAATAAATAAAAAATTAAGAAGGCTTATGGATATAAAACTCCATGTGGCTTCAAGCCCTAATTAGCACTCTTTGCTAAGGAGAAAGCAATCAGTGGGACACAAGGGAACAGCCACCTTTTCTTAACTTTCTGCTATCTGACCTGAGGTGCTGCAGAAGTGGCAATTGCTTTTTCTTAAGCCACAGACCCAAAATAGCTGCAGCCTTCCCCAGAGAGGCTTCACTGCACAAGCCTCGTACCTGCTCCTCTGAATGGATGCTCCCAGAGAGCAAGTGCAAAGGCAAATCCTGTCATGCTTGTATCACCATTGCTCTGATGTTTTATTCACCAAGGCTGAGATCAGGGGAGGCCTGGAGACTGGGGGTAAACTGCTCCAGCACAGACCTACACTTACCCAGCCATTCTGGGGGAAGGAGAATAAGGGGAGCAAGGAGCAGCACTTTTTCAAACAGCCCCACCTCTTTCCTCTGCACGTTGCCTGAAGAAGTGAGGAACTGCAGAGAGGTGCTGGGATGAGAAGTCACCTACCATGTACATTGGTCGGCTGCACTGCTGGATACAGTCCGTGTACAGCACCATCACTGCTCGCCGAAATATGCCCGTGTCTGTCAAAGGGAAGGATAGAAAGCCAGAACAGCCAGCACACTGAGCTCTAAAATGCCTCTGAGGAAGAAGCTGACACCCACCAGCTGACAACAGACAGCCCAAGGTGTCAGCAGATTCATGTCTTGCCCTTTGGAAGCACTCTGTGCTGAGCAGGAGGGCATCCACCACAGGATGTAGATGGCAGTTAGTCAGAGCAACAGGTTACAACCAAAATAAACTTAAAAACCCCCACTACACTAGCACTGCTCAGAAGTCACGCAGGCCCTGCCTGTAGGTGTAAAGAGGCTGGCTTTGCAATCCCATCTCTGGAAGAGAGGGGTGTGTGTGTGTGTCTGTGTGTGTGAGTGTGTATGTAGGAAGGCAGAAAAGCACTTCCATGGAACAGCTGCCAGAGCAGGAAAACAGCAGAAACATGTCCCACAGGCTTTAGAGGGTCCTAGAGGGGCAGAGCACACTCAAGACACTCCTGCTCTCAAAATCATTGCAGACGTTTCACTGCAGAGCCATCAGTGGCAGCGAGGATGGACAAACATGCATGAATACACATGTTCCTCTTTAGCCACAACACAGAGCTTGAAAATGCTCCTGCACCAAGATCTGAGCTCTCCTGTGCTGGATCACTCCCCTCCTGCCAAGGAACAGGACTGGCAGTGCTGCTGGCAAACTGGTTTAACTTCCCAAGAGCCGACCCCAGGTGGCACACGATCCTGCCTCCCCACATACATCCATGCAATCCCTAGCTGCTACAGCTCAGCACAATCAGTTCTACAGGGAAAAACGAAAGCTGTGGTTACCTGAGTCAGGGTCATCTGAGGCAGACAGGGGCAGAAGAGGAAGAAGAAACAGGTTTAAGCAGAGCACAAGAGCCAGGCTCCCCAGCAGACCCTCTCCCCCCCCACCCCATGACGGGGTGCAGGTCACCCCTCCGAGCACAGCACTAGGGAGAACTGCAGCTCCCTCAGGGCCCAGCAGTCCTGCTACACACAGCTCCTGCTGATTCCCACTGGGAATCAGGAGCACAAGGACTTCAGAGGCCAGGAAAGCACCAGATGGATGAGAGGACAGGGTAGCCCAGAAGAGGGGCCACAGGACTGTGCTGCACAGGCAGCTGAGGACGGGAGGCACACCCAGTGCAGATGGATCAGTCACAGCACTCACCGATCTTGAAGCGACCCATGTAGTAGATCTGGGTGCTGAGAGCCAGGGAGGCCAAAACGTGGATCAGTGAGAAAATAATCCAGAACCACATGTCATTTTTTCCAAACACCTGAAAGCAAAGACATTTTAAAAGTAAACTGAGCCCTCCTTCAGCAGGGCAATCCTTTCCTGGGCTCTATCACATGGGACATTAAACAACCTCACTGAACACAGAAAAAAACTGCTAAATCTTCCAACCAGAAAACAAATCTATAAATTTAAAATGAAGTCCAGAGAAGCAAGATTAGCTCAGCATTCTGGAGAGGAGACCATTCTTTCTGAATGCCCCTTTAGACAAGACTGGATGGACAGCAGCTGGCCCAGGGAGCAGAAATACAAGCAAGCACAGCAGCTCTCTGGCTAGGAAGGTGGATTTTTACAAAGGCAGTCAGGGAACCAACCATTACTTTAACAACTGTACTGAAGTAGACCAAAAAGGACAGAACTGCTCTGCAGGTAATCGCTCCTACGGTGCATTTTCATTTTATTTAAGGACTGGAAGTAACCTGCAAGCACAGGTTAACGCTACATTAAAATCCTAATTTTTCATTCATACAATAAGAAGTCCAGAAACTCTGATGTGCCATCAGACTGTGACCACTTTCCTACCCTGGGGCAAAGCACTTTCCTGAAATTTTCACTTTGTGTGGGCAGAGATAAAAATCCACACATCAAAAGGCAAGCGGAAAAGCCACCTATCCATGAATGGAACAAGGGAGACATGCTGCTTTCAAGCTCCACTGAACAGCTTCAAAGCATCCCACAAAAGAAGACAGAGCAATCTATAATGAAGTCTCAGTGTTTTGAGCCTTGTCAAGATCTACCACACCTATCCCAAGATATTCTTGGGTAAGTCCCAAGGTCACCAGCTCCTCCTGCATGCCTTATCCCACAGTCTCCTAAACAGAGACCTCTGCATTATGTGGTAGTGAGGAGCTCACAGCCCACTGGCATCTAGCTGCCAGTTCAGAGCAAGAATTCCATGGATTTTGCCTGGTTACTGATGAATGAAAACGAGTCCTTCAAAAGAGGAGAAGCAGAGACCTCCAAGGAAAAGCACAGCCTGAGGATCCTGGTGAGCCCAGCTCAGTACTTGCAATGCTGTGAGCAAACAGGCAAAGTCTGGTAGCTTCTGCTCCAGTGCCCTTCCATTGGCAGGTACTCCAGAAATTTGCCTGAGAGCCCCCCATGCTTACCCTGCTCCTCTCCAGAGATAGGAAAATCACCTACAGGAGCTGTGACAAACAACATGGAGTATTCCAAATGGGAGAAACAGGCACAAGCAAACAGGTATAAGATACCTGCCTTGGAAGCCCAGCCAGCCACACCCCTCTTTTCTCCATTGTGAATCATGCCCCAGGAAGACCATCTATGCACTTGGACATGTACATCTGGGTGCATGAATTTCTCCTCTTGAGAAGGATAGCATGTGGTGGGCAAAGCCCAAAACAAGAGCCCACCCAGAGGAAACTGTTCTGCTCTTCTCCTACCTGAAAGCTCAGAGGAAGGAAGGAGGAAAGCCCAGCAGAACTGAGAATTCAAATGCTGACAGCTGCTTAACACACTCTTATCCTACTCTGCAGCTTTCCCCAGTTATTTTCACACTTCAGCCGTATTCCCAGCCATGCCACCTCTTTCCCAGAGAAGCAGCAGAGTAAGAGGGAGCCATACCACTCCAAGGACAGCCAGGGAGATCACCACAGCAAACGAGGCGTAGGCAGAGTAGGCGCTGGCATTGATGTCTGGGTGCCGGGTCTGGTAGAGCTTGAGCATGCACAGTCCTGCAATCATGTACATGAAGGAGGTGTCTGTGGAGGGACACAACAGAAACAGGGTGAACACATACTGCCAGTGCCCCCAGAAAGCTGCTCCAAGGACACACAAAGCATCAGGGATCTGTGCCTGCCAGCCTTGGGTTTAGCCCTGCTGCTGCACTACACTGTAGAGCACTTTGTGCTTTGCCACCTTGCAGCAGCACATCTTCCGTGCTCTGGGGAAACAAAAACTAAAGGGGATCAGAAAATAAGTGCCCACAGAGCATCACAACCTCCTGACTGAGCTTTGAAACAGGCAGACTCCAGGGAAACTTGCAAGGGTAGAGAGATGGGAAACGTGAGCAACTCAGCAAGAGACAGAACATGGCAAATGCTTAGCTCCAGCTCATAAGGAGAAAGGAAACTCAGCTTACCAAACTGGAAATTGGAGTAATTAGGGCAGACATGGTAACAGGCACTCAGCACCCCTTCCATCATCAGAGCAATGCCCATAGCATAAAAGAGACCAAAATGCTTTGGGATCCCATACTCCTGGAAGAGAGCAGAGCTGTACAGTAAGTGTCCTCAGTGTCCTCATCACAGGCAAGCTTCCATTCTCCATGACTTCATCCCCCCTAACTCCTACACAATCCCTCTAGTCACCAGAGCAGCACAGTGTTCTAGGTGCAACCACAGGCTCTGGATTTAGACACATGGCACAGCCAGGTGAATCCACAGGCAGCAAACCTAAGCTAATCACACTGGAAGATCTGATCTGAAGACCTCAATGTCTTGGTACTGACATCATGAGACTGAAAATCTCTGTCCTGTACCTCTTGCTATACTACATCTGGGCCAAAACTGAGAGAGGACTGGCCAGAATTGCTCTTGTGGTCAGCAGGGTCTTAGAAGCTCTTGAGCCAATGTGAGAAGTCATTTCCACTACAATTTGGCCAAGATTTCACCTGAAAACCACAAGCAGCAGACTGTTACAATCACTAGTGCCTTTACTTGCTTCCAAGCCCATGAGAACAGAGCTGTTTGTCTCCAGGAACCAACAGCAACTCTGCACACAGGGCTGAAGATTCCTCCATTCTGGAGACTACAGAAGCTCTGGCTACAAGAATCTCTGCTTCAGAGACTGAGGCAGCCAAATTCCTCTGAGCTATCATAAGCAGCTCTTGTGTAAGAGAAATCAAACTTCACTATAAAGAGAAGCATCTTGGGACACTCCTGCTGTCCCAGTTCCTCCACAGCAAGCACTGCAGGAAAAGCCAGAGCCATGGGACTCCTTCCTCTATTAATTTCTTTGTCTACACAGGCCCAGGCTGGGTCACCACCACAGCAGCATGGACATACTATAAGCAGTAAAGCACTGGGGTGTGCAGGAACATGACATCCCACCTTGACCCTTCTGCACAGGAGGAAAAAAAGAGAAGGATTCAACCCTCCAGCAAGGAAGACAAGTGGAAACCCATTGTGTACCACTCTGGTTTTTGAGTTCACTCCACGTTCCCTGCCTCCACTCAGCCCCAGGCAATCAACCTCCTACCAGGGTGTAGATATCTTTCATCTCCATGGCCCGACGGTGGAGGATGTCCCTGCGCAACACAATGAGGAGGAAGAGAAAGCCCAGCATCATGTGGCCCACGTTGCTGAGGATGTTATTGAAGGCACTGCAGGAAAGAAGGTTTAAGACAAAGGCAGCACAGCAGCAGGAAGCTGAACCCTGGGTTGTGATAAGCTGAATCCATTTTGCTCCCCCCCTCCACCACCTTCCACCTCAGCAGCTGCCAAACTGCAATCTAACTCTCCAGATGACAATTTAATTTGAATAGTTCATCCGTCCCAGTTAATGTAACACTTCTGAGAGATTCCCAACTCTGGGCTTCCTTTGTACTCACACATTAATTTAGAGAAATGCTACACTGGAAGGACTGATCTGAACTTCTTTGCAGAGCTGCTGCTCCTTGGATACAAGTGTCCTATAGAGCACAGGAGCACCTCACTGCTGTGCCAATGACTTGCAAGGGGCACCCAGGAGCCACAAGTTCTAGGGTGAGTGTGTCTCACTGCCACAGAGCAGCACTGCTGAGCAAAACACAAAGATCAGAGTCCTAAACTCCCAGTGGTCTTATCAACACTGCTACTGTGAGCCTGGCAATTATAAAATCGAGAGCTGGACACAGCACAAACACTCAGGAGGCATGAGACAAAGATGCAGTGATGACAGGGCTCACTCACCTCAGCACCCCAAGGGGATGAGCACACAGGAAGTTGTAGTAGCAGATGTCCTGATTGCCAGTCACATTCACTACCTGGACAGAGAGCAGGGGGGAGGCCTGCCATTAGCAAATCCTCCCTGCTCTGGGGGGTTTGCCCCATGCAAACACGGCACAAACACAAGGTGTACCAGGATGCAGCCTAGCTCCCACACAGGGGAGTGCTGACGTCTTGCAAGCAAAGCTTTTAGGGTGGGACAAGATGTTGTCAAGGGCCACAAACCTGATAACAGTCTTCAGAGGAAACACTGTGTGCTCTCAACCCTCCCACTAATAGACCTGCTTGCAGATATCTGCATAACAGCAGGATAGCAAAGGTTGGGAGAAGGCAGGAGAAATCACAGCAAACACTACTTGCTTTCAGAGATAACATCAAATTCCTCCTGTCTCTAAAATGAAGCAGGACCCAAATGAGACATCAGTTGATCAGGAAAACAGCAGCACTCCCACTTCCCAAGCAGAAATAGCAGCAGAAGTGCAAGCCCAATGAGCCAAGCTCACTGTAACATCAACACAGTGCAGCAGGAGCAGCTAAGGTAAACTGCTCCTCACACAGAGCAGAACTCCTGGGTGATCCCAGTTTCGCTGTGACTGTCACCCTTGCACAACACAACCACAGGGCAAGTTTAAAGCAAGAGGGGGCAGCCATGGAGCCAAACGCACCGTCTGGTAAGTGATGACCAGCTGGATGACCGGCAGGGCATAGAACACAGCAATGGTGATGATGTTCCTGCAGAGGGGAGACAGCAGCAGCAGTTACACACACACCAGAACCGGGGCTGCACACCCAGAACAAAGGCCCACAGTGCTTGTGGAGGAATGTGCACACCTCACTGCTCTGGTATTACTATCTCATTGTGAGCCCCCGATGCAGAGGAGCACGTGTGCTCATGCACACAGGTGGCAAACCAGAGGCAAATGCTAAGGGCACAGGAAAAGCCAGAGTGTTGGCAACAAGCTCATGTGCTTGAGTGCCAGTTTCTCCTCCTTCCCATTAAATTTCAGTGCACTGGTTGTTACCATGCTTAAAAGCAAATGATGCAAAACAGAATCCACTGCCAGGATCATTTGCGCACTGGTACACAAATATCCTTACTTGAGGTATGTGGGATCTGCAGATACTGATTGGAGCAGGGTCAGAATGGGCAAGAGGGTAGTTCAGAAGTGGTTCAGAAGAAAGGCTTGCAGACAGACTCCACAACCAGAGAGTATGGGTCCAGAGTTTGGGTCTTACCAGTTTGGCTTCTCCTTACCAGAAATAGATTTTGTATTTTTTGCTGACAATCCTTCGGTCTTTCCTGGACAAATCTGATAGATAGAGGAACACCTAAAACATTATTGGGTGGGGAAAGAGGGAAGAAAACACAAAAGAATCAATGTAGATTACAGATGCCAGTAGAAGACCTTGACATATTTGCAGCTTGGTAGTACTTGAACTGGTTTTACACAGTGGCCCTTGATTCTATGGGAGTGAGCTCTGCAAAATCCTCTGACCTCCAGAAATGGCTCCAACCACATAGAGCAGTGCAGGATGACAAAAGGAGGAGTTTGAGAGCTGCTGGCTTAAAGCCCCTCTGTACATCCACTGTAGTCACACTACTTGTACTAAATAGCCACCTGCTGTTGCAGATTATTTTCTCCCTATCTTCACACCTCCTTGAACTTTTCTCAATAGTCCAATACATTTTGATTTTCTGTATTAAAGCACTCACTTCAGCAGCACTCTTATCACAGTGGGAAAACTTCCAGTGACTGAAAAAAGACTAAGAAACACACTCAGCTGTATTAGATGAAATCCACCCTGAAAGGGAACAGGATTTCTGAGATTTCACTGAAGTGACCAGTTCTGGCCACAGCCCAGACGTGCCCATGGCCCAGCACGAGGGCCACAGGTGCAGCCCCAGCCGTACCTTCGTGCGGATGATGTTCTTGTCACTCTCAATTTCTGGCATGGTGTCGAAGTCGCTCTCCTCCTCCACAGAGCTGTCTGTGTCCGAAGCAGCCGGGGGCCTGCGCTCCGGGGAGGAGAGCTGACGTCCTCCGCTGGAGCTGGACTCATCTGGGCCACAGAGGGGAGAAGGAGACAGGCAGGGTAAAGGCTACATCCCTCTGTGCTACATCCCTCTTTGCACAGCATCCCAGCTGTCCCAGATGCTTTGGTGCTTTGACAAGTTGATAGGGCCAGTTCAAGGAAAAATTTTTCCAGGATCCCAAACCTTCCAGAAGTTTTAGGTGTTCAGCTATGAGCAGTTTCAAGGACCATTATCTTTCCCTCTCTTCAGCATTTTAGTTTTCACTCTGCTTTTATTCTACTACTTTTCATCTCTTAACATTTTCTACTCTCTACTAGCCCGGGCTCTGAAATCTGGAATTCTGAGACAAGACAAATACCTCTAGAGAAAGACGCAGACTGTTAGGGGTCAAAACCACACTCACCTAGTTAACCTTCAGATTTTATGTAAGCTTTATATATACATCTAAGCTTTTCTAAAAATACTGTAGAACAAAAGACAAAGAAGAAAGTCCATTTTTGAAAGCAAGCAGAGTACCAGCTTTATTCCCATAGCATCCCTGGTAGTGGTCACATACATGTTAGCAGAACCTGCCTGCACTTCCCACAGGCTGGGCAACTCCCAGCTCATTGTCCACATCAGTATGGGCAAAACACAGGTTTCTTCCTCATTTCCCAAATGCTTTTAAAAGATTTCTTTGGAAAAAGGGGAAGGAGGGATACAGTGGTCATTAAGCCCTCAGGAAGTTTTTTTCTCCTCTGCCTCCAGGGCATGTTTCACCTGTTGGCAGTACATTATTTCTTCCCTAGTGAAACCTCTGGGGGGCTCTGATTGTGTCTTGCTTTATGGCACACAACCCTTCAGCCTCCCAGGGACAGGTAGGTTTTGATTTAAAGATAGGGTATGAGCTAATAAAAGGCTCCTAGAAGCTTGCTTGCAAGGGATCTTTTTCAGTCACTAGTAAATGTCCTGTTTGAAGCAGCATTGTCACCCACAGCTCTCAAGTGACTGTAGCTTTGTCTAAGATACACTTCCAATGACAGTCTTTTGGGGTACCTCTTTCAGATTTGCCACTTTTATTATGTAGTTGCTTTTCCCTAAAGTGCAACCTGAACCTCGCAAATTGGTTGTTTGGGTTTGGTTTTGTTTTCTGTTGTTTTTTTTTTGTTGTTGTTGTTGTTGTTTTTGGGGTTTTTTTTAATAGCTGCAAGACACTCCTAAAGTAGCTTGCAGCTTTATTCTCCTCTGGTGTTAAATCACCCTAAAAGTGCCTTCCTCTACCCCAGGGAGAAGCCTCCCTGTGCCCCAGTTCTGGAATATACTGTACCAATAGCACCGTAGCTGCTTCCCTCAGGAGTGCTGGCTGAGATGGGGTGTGAAGAAGTCATCATCCCAGATCCTGCAATGAAACAAACCCAGGAGGGACAGTTAGTTTCATGTCAGTGCTTCAAAACATGTCTGAGGTGAACACAAACAGCTTGAAGAGCTGGAGGGGCTTGGGAAAAGGAACATTTCTCTAAACAGATGGCAGTCTCCCTCTTGAGCATACTGTGCAAAAGGGAAACCCTCATTTTGCAGTGTGAAGGAAACCCACTCCCTTCAGCCTCCCCACACAGGGTGCCAGTGAGACTGGCAGCAGGAGCCCCCCTCCAGCACCCTGCACAGATCACACTGTGGGGCTGCAAGGCTTGCTAAATTTTAGAGCAAGTCTCATGATGTTCTTAACAGCCTTCTGAATTTCTAGTTCTTCTCTTTCCCCATCTCACGCAACTCTTCAAATCTCTTTAAATCCTGCTGCCTACAGCTATCTCTGGAAGAGTCACAGACTTTGGCAGGACAGCTGCTACATAATTTTAACCAATCAAGGAGAAAGAAAAAAAATGCTTTATGCAAAAAGTTGTAATGATCTTGTGCTGATGACAAGAAGGGCAAGCCTTTGAGGGCTAGGAACATCCTGCCTCCTGCCCACATATATGAAACAAGGAGTGCTCTCCTGCCTCCACATTCCCTCTTTTTGCTTCCAGTGGTGGAGCTCATTAGCTGACCTACATAGCAGGAAACAAAGCCAGCTGAATCCCTTCACTGAGAGGTCAGTCACAACAGGGAGGGAAGCAAGGGCAGCAGGAACAGGACCGTGTTTTCCAGTAGTGACAAACAGTGACACAGGTTAAGTTGCTTTAAAGCTTTATCCCTGCAACAATCTCATGTGGTCAGTCAGTGGCAAAGCAATGCAGAACGTGGCATAGTATTTAAAGCTTTACTGCAGCCTGGCAATGGCCTGGCTTTCCAAGCTGCATCTCTGGCTTCCCAGTAGTCTGGTCTCAAACTGACAGGCACAGGCAGAGTGCTCTTTCCAACTGGAAATTCTGGGGATTTCTGTAACACCTTGTGAAGGTTTTTACCCCATTTTCATTAGCCACAAACATAGAGAGATCTAAAACTTGTCCCTGACTGACCCCAAGTCAGGGAAGCACCCCTACAGCAATGATATTTGATATTTCAAGTCCCAATTACTGCTTCTCTTTGGTATGTTTACCATGCTTGTTGGGCTGGGGGCTAAGACTTGGTCTCAGATTTTGGCTCCTTCATGCTCCTGCCCCATCCCTCTATCAGAGGAGCATCAGAAGTGAACATGGCAAGGACTGAGCACCAGAGAGAGGGCTCTGGCACACTGCAGCCCCCAGCTGACAGCCCTTGAGCCCTGAGCTGAGATTGGCAGGATGTTGTAGGTTGCAGCACAAGCAAGATGCAGCTTCTACTCATCACCTCCAATCCAATGTCCCTCTCTTGTGGAAGCTTTTCCTGTTGCTTTAAAAGTCATTTGGAAATCCAGATCACTGGGAAGAGGGCAAAAGCATTTCCCTATGTTCACAGCAGCAAGGCACAAGCACAATTCCTAGGCCTGTCCGTCCTGTTCCACAAGGATACTCCCTCCTAATTTTGGACCAGGCTTTATCCTCTCAAGTGACCTGTCAACCTTCTCTCCCAAGTTACCAAAGATTTAATCTGGACAAAGAAGGCAAGCCAAGCAGAAGAGGCACTCTGCCCTGTCTCTAACAGCCACTTTGGACCCAGCTCACCCACTAATTTCCATCCCACTTCCCACTGTGAGAGTGAGTCAGCAAAGTAAATGTACCACATCAGGTGTGGCTCTTCCAACTATTGCTTCCACCAGATAGCGAGGATGTGGAAGGGAATGTGTGCCATGGGACTAAAAAAAAAAAAAAAGTGAACCATAGAAGCCAGACGTAAGATGGATAACAAGAGCAAGGAGGCACACAGAGTGGCAGGGCATCCCAAGACCAATGGCAAAGATATTGCTGAGCACTTCCATCCAGTTCCTTGGTGGGAAAAAAGAATAGGGGGTAATGAAGAAGGCAAAATCCAGGGGTTTACTTGGGAGGGAAATAAATTCCAAAGGGCGGGAAGGGGAGAAAAAAAAACAAACAGAGAAAGCCAGTGTGTCCACTGATCTGGAGGACAGGGAAGCTGCTAATTACCATTTTATAAGCATCAGTCAGGCACACCCTGAAGAGACAACAGATGAAGAAACAGTGTGTGGGTAGGACATGATTCCTCCCCAGAGGAAAAGACGTGGCTGCAACATGCAGTGCCAGGTGTGTGAAAGTGGCAGTGGATTACAAGGGAGAGGACAGGTCACAGAAGCAGTAGGTGCCTCTGGGAGGAAAGCTGTAGGAACTATGAAGGAACTGTGCTCCTCTCCTCCTCCACAGGGATGCTGTTCAGCAGTCCTCCCTGCTCAGCAACCCAGTTCTCCACCCTCCAGATCCGTACCACGTCCAGCATCTGTGCCCTGCAGCTTCTTTGGGAACTTTCCAAACACCAGAATTTAACTTCCACCTCTCAGCAGGGCAGTTTAGAAGGCAGCTTCTAAGTTGGCTTCAGCACATTAAACTTCAGCTGCAGCATCAGCAGCACTCCCTGGGACTTCTGGTCCCACCTGGCTGAGACTGTGCCTCCTTGTCTTAGACAGTGACTCCTTGTCAGCACCCTGGAGCTCATCCACAGCCTTGGACAGGTCCCTTCAGCTTACTCAAACTCCCCAACACACAGGCTTTTCCCATTGCTCCATTGCCCTAAGACCTGCTCCTGTTTTACAGCAGGATCCATCCCAAATGATATAAAATTAGATTATATTTATGGACATTTTTACAGTTCCCTGTACATGCTGTGAAAAAAACCCCTTTCACATGTATTCCAAATACGAGGATACATGTGGATCTTAGTGGCTGACAAAACAAGTCTAAGAATTCCAATGTTCCCAGGTCCTCAGCAGAAATATTAAGCCAACTAATGCCAGGCAGAGTGAAGTTCCACTGCTGACCCTTTTAAACACAGTTCAGTTATACTACCATGCTTATCTGATGGGATGTAGCAGACCGGAGAGACTGAAAATGCTCACATCAAAAAAGGAGTAACATCAAGAACCTCTCAATGCTGCCAAGACTATGTCCTCCACTCCTCCAGGAGAGAGGTACAAATGACCTCAGCACCAACGCTTTGAACTAACTAAATATTTAATCAAAATGAAAAGACTCCCACACCTCACCAGAAAGCAAGAACTCCCAGTGCCCCCCATCCACATGACAAAAACTTCCATCTTTCACTGGCAGCTTCTTAGATGCAGCTCTGTTTTTATGAGGCAGAAGGCTGCAGCTTGTGGAAATGTGGGTGCAGCACAAAGTAAACTGAATCCAATGCCAACACAAATATCATAAACACCACTACCTAACTCTGATAGTCATTCATTCACCTGGCTGTCTGCAACATCCAGTGAAAAACAATTTAACACTGAAATTCAATTAAAACATTAAAAGACCCCATGCTAAAACCAGGCAGAGGAATTCTTAAAGCATAAAGCTGACATACTCAAAAGTGTCTTGTTTAAAAATCAGCAGACCTGGCATCAGGAACATAAGCCTGTAGCTGGGTCCAGGCAAGTCCTGGCCTTCCTCCACCCCTTTAAAAGGCAGCTCCTAGGGTAGGAGTCAGGACCAGGTTCAGGGCAGCTGGCTTCAAAGGCCCCCTGTTGTAAGGGCAGAGAGGAAGCTCTAACATCTTTCCTCAGCACCAGAGTCTGTGCGAGCTACCAGGGAAGGTAACTGCAGGACAGAAGGTACTTGACTGACAGCCTGTCCTCTGCCTGGCCCGGGGCCTGTGCTGTTCACTCAAAGCTGTCACACGACAGAGAAGAGACCTTACCATGCTCAGGGCTCAGTCTCCCAGCCGATGCCTTCCTCTGAACCCTGCAAAGCAACAGACAGCACTCATGACACAGCCAACAAATCTCATCACCTGCCAGCCATGGCAGGATTATCTAGGACACCAAAAGGTAAATGTAGCACAAGCTCAAAAAAAAACCAAATAAAACCAACAAAAATAAGTACAAAAGAAACAAACACATATAACAACAAAAAAGAAAAATACTGTTTCGACTAGACACAACTCAGCCATGACTGCTTGCTGTCCACCTCTCTAACTTCTAAAGCAACAGAGAGCTTTTTCACCCCCTCAGTTATCCACCAGATGCAGGACAACCATTTCCATGATTTATCCCATCCTACCCTGCTCAGTATGTTGGGAGAGACCTTTCACACCATCTTTCCAAACCCATTTTCCCTGCTCAGGGGACCAAGCATGTATTAATCTATTCAAGGAGCAGCAGGATCTAGAGGCACTAATTAGCACAATGCTTAAGAAGTCCATATTACCCCTGTCAATGCAGATGTCAAGCAGAAAGAAGATGGTAAAAAAACCAATAAAACAACAGAAAAAATCCTACCAACATATTCCCACTACACAGAAAAAATATCAGCAAATAAGAGCACACACTTAAGTAATTTCATTGAATTGTTCCAATTAAATGTATTTTCATTGATGTGTCTTGAAGTTAAGCCATGCCCATGCAGACATTCTTCTCAACACAAGCCCAGACACCAAAGTTTGGGGCAGGGGAGGCAGGTAAGGAAGGAAACCAGCATTCTTGGCACTCCAAGGCCCAATCTGTGTCACTGCCACTTATTGCAGTTCTCAGGCCAGCATGCCCTCACACTCCATATCCCAGACTGGTCCCTTCACATTTCCCACATTTGCTGCCCATTGTCCTTGTATAAGAAAACAGAGGGTTGGGGCACTACAAGACTGGGAGGGCAGACCCTTAGATTATCATCCTTCCCACGGTTCCCAGAGCAGAGGAAGAAGTATTTTCTGGCTGATGGTCAGCAGGAGCCCACTGAGTAGTCATGGACTTCTTCAGCTGCTCTGCTTGCCACCACACTCATCCCAAATTTTCTGCAGGGTATGGTGTCCCTGATGACAAGAAACAGAAAGGCTGTTCTTTTATAACCCCTCGACTCACCTAATGTAGTGCACAAAAGCAACAACCACTGAGCCCAGGTAAAAGGAGAGGAAACTCAGGAAGCTGAAGAACATGGCCTGGACATAAACAGACTCTGAGGAAAAAGAAAGGATCAGTCAGCTCACAGAGCAGGAACAGCACCTCTCAGGAACAGCACTCTTCCTTCACCTTGTAAAAATGCCCAGCCCCAAAGAGCCCTCCCCAACCCATTTGCTTTCTTCAAAAGGAACTGACAGAACCTGTTCAGCACCATCTCCCCCCATTTCTTCACCCCCAGTACTAGCTGGTGTGCCACACAGCCTTTCCTGGAAGTCAGCAGGCTCCAAGTGATTTTGTCTCCTTTGCTGGTGCTGTCTGCTCCATTCCTTCAGAGGCTGCTGGCACAGTCATAGCCCTGTATTCAGAAGTGCCAAGCTCCCCTGTAAAGTTGCATTGCTTTGCCCAAAGACACTGACTTTTAATGGAGGGCACAATCGTCACTTGAAGGTTCTTTGTCCGCTGCAGGTTCCAGGTGCGGTTGACGTTCCCTGTGAGGTGCAGTGCACAGGAAATATAAAAAAAAAATCAACATTAATGACTCCTATTGCAGTGCTTTGCCCAAAGACACTGACTTTTAATGGAGGGCACAATCGTCACTTGAAGGTTCTTTGTCCGCTGCAGGTTCCAGGTGCGGTTGACGTTCCCTGTGAGGTGCAGTGCACAGAAAATATAAAAACAATCAACATTAATGACTCCTGGCACTGATCTTGGTTCTCTGAACTTGCAAAAACAACAGGGCCTGGCTTTTCACTAAAATGTGTAGGTGGTTTTGCTTTACACTGTTCTCTGATCTATCAATATACAGCCTTTCCCAAATGTTTCCCCTTTCCTCCCAGTTCATAAACTTTTTTTCAGACTAGAAATCCCTGCTTGAGCCTTCCACATATTGCTTAAGTCTGGATGTCTGAATCCCAAAGGCATCTCATCTCCTATTCACTTAATCCCCAAAGGAGAGGATCTCTCATTACAGGTAGTGGGAGTCCATTTTTGCCTTTGGCCAATCTCTGTGAGTAAAACACTTCTGTGCAGGATGCCACTCCAGAAACTCACTCTGTTTCTTCAGGGCTTAGCACACCTGGCCAGTACAGCTCTGCTGACAGCCTCAGGATGAGAGAATGACACCCCAAAGGATACAGTTCTTTTTTTGTGGGAAAATTGGGGCAGAGAGGTGACAGGGGAGTAGTAAAAAGCTGTTGAGGGAGCCCAATATATCTGTTGGTTGCAGTCTTGCTTCTTCTACAGAGAGGAAGCTTTGAGGCTTTGAAAATAGGAATGTTCCCACTCCAGATACAGTCACTACATGAGTGGTGGAGACTTTGCTTTGCCCAGCAAGTGGACACAGTGTTTTCTGGTTGGAAAAGACACCAGAACAAATATTTTGTAAAACTATTTTTCCAGAATTATCAATTTTTCCTGTTCCCCCAAGTTCAGAGCTGTCACAGATCCCAAGACAGCAGTAGGAGAAGATGCTCTCTGCAGGAACTGAGACCCCATGGAGCCAGGAGGGTAATACAGCAGCAGGAAGCAGAAGTGAAAACCAACCAAAAAGATGTAAGCAGCATTGCCTGGATGACTCCAGTGTCTCCCAAGGCCCCAGTGCTGCTGCTGAAAAGCACATAACCCCAGCATACCAGGCACTGTACTAGCCCACCACCTCCTGCATTTATCAAGACTTTTAACCTGCCCAACAATATCAAATTGATAATTCGCTCTTCCTCACAACTAGCTGGATAAGACAGACCTACATAATCACCCAGTGGCATCCCACAGGAAGGTCCCAAAAGACACCCACTGCTCCATCACTCCAATGCAGCAATCAAATCCACCTCCCAGAACAACTTACCAGGAATTGAAGAAGGCACAGAACCCCCACAGGCATAATCCTCTGGCTTAATGACAAACACAACGAAGAACTGCTCACCTGGGAAATCTTTTCTCTGCACAGAAGGATGGAAGAAGACAGAAAATCCATGAGACACAAAGCCTCTCCCACCTAACAGCCCAGAGATCAGGTTTTAATTGCTACACAGGCAGCAGAAAACACTGGGACACAAATCAGCATCTCACCTGGACTGTTATGGCTGCCTGCTTTGTCATAGACTGATAAACTCCATTGAACTCCACGTTATGGTCCAGGTCATACACTGGGCACTAAAACAGACAACTAAAGGTTAAACCAGGGCAACATCCAAACTGTTTTCAAAGGAAGCCACCTGGGAAACACAGCACAGAACAGCAAAAAAAGGCCTCAGTTGGGGTATCCAAGGGAACAGAACATCTTGCCTCTCTGTCTGCTCCCATACTGCAGCCCCCTACATTACTCAGGGAGGTGGGAAAAGAGAGTAAGTATGGGCAGCAGCCAACCTCCATGACAGGGAACACCCCAGGAAAGGGGATGAAATATATAGAAAGGAACTCGAACTGGAAAGGAAGAAAGACACCGTGTGTCTGAAAATCAGAAGTTCCCCAAGCTGCCTTGAGCCAGGGGAGAGTCAAGGGAGCAGCACTGTTCCCTCCCTGAGCCACCAACATTCCACCCAACACCCTCCATGGAGAGACAGACCCATATCACAGGGCAGCAGAGAACCTCACAAGGGAGACATCTCTTCCCTCTGTGGAATGTGTTCCCTAGGGATAGGCTAGAAAGGAACAGCTTGTTCACCTATTTACAACAAAAGTCTCTGTATGAGCCGCTTGAACTCAGCATCTCTGTCTTGGCCTCCTTCCCACAGAATTTTCATTCCTCTTTCAGGGTGTCCCTTCACCACCACCACCAGGGCAAAGCCTGCCTTGGGCTTTTCCCTCTGCAGGGCCCAGACCCCTCACAGCTGGACACAGCTCCAGCAGGCAGCTCCTTACCCTTCTCTGCTCAGACTTACCACAATGTCCTGGACAGAGACAACTGAGCATGGGTAGGCTGCATCAGACACCACATTAATAATGACTGAGTCGACATCCTGAGGAAATTTGTACAGAAAATACTGCAGAGAAAGCAGAGTACAAGAGTCATGAGCCAGAAATCACCCTTGGCAGAATCTTCAACACTATCCCAAGCTACCTCAACAGCCCTAGATGGGCTTTGGGGTTGTGGATGTGGATGGCTTTCATAAAAAATCAGATTTCAAATATTAGGACCTTACACTACAGAAGAGCAGATTAAATATATACAGGCAACTGTCCCCCTTGCACAGTATGCTATTAGACACAAACATCTTCAACAAGCAAAATACAGCATAGTTTCTGCTCCCTTAAGCTTTTTTCCACCTGATGAAGCTAAAGTGACTTCATTTACACCACATTCCATTTTACATTGATATGAGCAATTTCCAGATGTTTCCATACTGCTGGCTATACTTTTATAGATGGAAAACATCACAGAGCTTTCTCAAATGGGTCGCCCCAAAGACAGACCAAGAACAGTATTAGGTCAAATGGCTGAAACTCTGTCAAGAGTTTAATAAATTAATGATTGATATTAGTTGTAGGATTTAGGGTTGGTTGTTTGCTTTGATAGCAAAGCATAATTGGGGTTTCTTTTTGCACCTGAGCTTCGAAAATCATTCAGCTGTAACTCTAAAAAAATTTGTGACACTAATACCTGGCAATATTCCTACTTTTTCTGTGGGGGAAAGAATGGCATCTCCTTCATTGAGCACACCCACAGGAGAGTTTGTGGGGTTAGAAAGAGCTGGTTTTTTTCAGATCTGGGCAAAAGATGTCCCAGGCAATATCATTATTTGTATATTTGTTCAGTAAAAAGTTTGCTGCACTACCCCAGCCAGCTGCTGGAGAAGTGGGGCTCCTGTGCCCACCCCAGCAGGATGCTTGTTGCAAGGGCTCCCATCACCCCACTTGGAGGCCAGACCGAGAGCTCAGGCTCCAAGCCACAGCCACCACGAGGGGCTGATGGGCACCTCATACCCCCTCAGAGGGGCACAAGGCTGAGGAGTGCCACCAGCACCTTCCTCCCTTCCATATGGTCACCAGGCAGCCACTGCTGCCACACTGGAAGCTACCAACACCCCTGCTCCAAAACCGTCACCTGAGACTTTCCCAACTGTAGAGCTCCCTTTCTGGCACATAAATTTTATTGCTGAGCAAGGGCCAGCTGCTTCCTGTTTCTCTTTCCCCATGCCAATCCCAGGAATTACAGCCCCGAAATGGGAGAGCAGGGACAAGCAGGAAATAACCCAAGCCTTTTCCAAGTTGCCCATTTCTACTAAAGCATTTATTCCCAGCACCCCTTCCCTGCTGAAGGAGCGCTGGCTCCAACCACAAGTCCCTACAAAGTGCAAACTCACCAAGCCAGTTTCCTCAGCAGAGCATGTTTTGTCTGCACCAAGCAAGGACACGGGCAGATTGAGCTCCTTGGTTTCCCAGGGGCACTTTTTCCCCTTGGAAAGTTTTAAGGGCATGAGGATCACCTTTTAGTTCATAAGGGCTCTTCTATAATTTCCTCTAAGCCACGCTTGCACCAAGGTACAGAATTAACACAAGGGCATTGAGGCCAGCAGTTCTCTGCTGCACACACTGCAAGTGTTAAAAACACATCCAGCCAACACTCCTCACCTATACAAGCATATCCAATTTCTGATTCTGCCCTCAGGCACAAACTGAGCTCCAGACAACATTTCCTTCAGTTGTTACGTCTTTTTACAACACCCATCTAGATTTTAAATAATCCTTTTTTTCCTTTCTTTCCCCTGTAGACTGCTTAATACTTTGATTTACAAAAATCTCACCATTACACCAATTAAGATGCAGTCATCTTCTCCATAGACCTGGTTATTAATTAAAACTCATAAATCCTGTATTATTAATTGTGACAAAAAAATCAGACCACAGTCACAAAGTTAATATCATATCCTAAACGCTCTATATTCAAATCACAAAATCCTAAGAAATGAGTGCTTACAAAGAGTCACCATCATTCCCTATGCTTCTATAGTATAAAACACTGCATGAATCTGCAAACCAGATTAAGACATTTGTCAGCAAAAAGGATTAGCTAGGATGCCTGGTAATACAAAACCTAAAATTAAATGGTGTTACTAACAGCGAAAGCAACAACAAAAAAAGAGTCCCAGAAGCCTGGGTAAATCACACACCCTCCTAGCTCTTCAAGTTCCTATACCTCTACAGGTACTGCAAACAGCATTTTCATTCAAGAGGGGATTCGTATCTGCAGGGCTCTAAGCAAAGCTGTTCAGCTGGAGGTGCTGCTCATATGTGCCTCCTTCTGGACTAACAGACATATTGGTGTCTTAAGTTTTAGCTTTCATATTTTCTAGATTCTGTACTGTATTAGTATATAACTCATTAAACTATATATCTATAACTCTAAATTTCATATAGGAAGATCAATGATCACATCTACCACTTGGATGTGGTAAGACATACAAGTAATCTACACAGGATTCTCCTTACCTGGGGCTGGGAAGGGCTGGCACTGAAGTTAAAGGCTTTGTTGGTCCTAGAAAACAAATGCTAGAATGTTGAAGTCTAAAACTTTTAGAACTGGAACACACCCAAAGTACCCTCAGATTAAACAAAATAATTTTTTTTTCCCCCTAGGAAGGAAAAATAAGGGAAGAGTAGGCAGACGGACCAAGTGCCTCAAGTGATGTTCAAGTGATACAGGAAGAAATTGCATTTGTATTCTCACATCCCAGCTTACTCAAGTTGGAAGTTCTCCAGCCTGGTGACTAGCAGCTCATATGCAATATTGAACGGTGCCATGGAAGCGACATCCACAAATATAATCTGGTTAGAGGGTCTTGTTTCAGGTGTTGGCTCAGAGGGACACAGGGTCCGACTCACTTCTTGGTATTTGTAGGTCCTCTGGTAGCTACAACAGCCAGGGAAAGGAGGAGAGAGAAAGTTGGATAGGAAAGAGAGAGAGAGAGCAATTAAGAAGCTTTTCAGCACTACTAAGAATGGCATCATTTTGCCTCTGTTTACATAACTGAAATTCTCATCTAAAAGGCCAGAAGCATTCACTGTTTTATTCAGCATTCAAGCTCCACCTCTGTTGTCTCTTGCAATCTGCACAAGGGACTGGTCATCCTCAGGGTTTCACTTCCCTCGGGGATGCCCACGACAGCTGTGGATTTCTAACATCTGCCATTTAGTGGAGGCAAAGAGAGCACTGACAGCCACTGCTGTACCCATCACCTGCATCAGGCAAAACACTGCAGGATATCTGCTGCTGGCACCAGGATTCAGCCACAGGATGAAGCTTCACATCTGAAATGGACTAAGGTGCCTGAAAATTCTCTATTTGCAGCCCACCGAGCTCTGGGGTTAATGAAGATACAAAGCAGCATTGCTTTCATAAAGAAGCAGCCCCAAAACAATAACCCTCTAGAAGAGGAAACAGCCCCAAACCACCCTCTACAATAAACTTAACTTAGATGTTCCTGAGGTGAGAAACAGAAGCTCTTTTTCCCCAAATGCACTGTTACACAGAAGCTATGGTGCTCTTGCAAAATCCTGTTCAAACCCTGTCCCAAACCCTGTCCCAGGAACTACCTGCACGCATGGCAGGCAACTGTGGAATGACAGCAGTGATGTGTAGTAGATTCAGTGACTGGTGCCACAGGCAGATCCCCTGCAGACAACCCCCCTGGTACTCTGTGCACATATCTGAGAAGCTAAGAGCCAAGAGCAGGCTGCCAAGTGAGAGGTTATCTATCAAATCCTGATCTTCCTACACCCAGCTGGCAGTCAGCAAGGACCAACAGTGTACCACAGTAGACCACAGCCCTGCAGTGTACACAGATTACAAGATGTAGCAGGTGAGGGAGGCTGGTAGAGGAGTGTGTCACAAAAAAGAGCCTCCAGTACTTACAGGCCTCGAAAAATCAGTGGGACCTGCCATGAGAGCACTCCCTTCTGCTGGCGGACTACAAACAGGACGGGGTACTGGAGGTTCTCAGAGCTGCTGTTCACGTACACCCGCACTGCATCTACCTGTGGGAAAACAAAGCGTAAGCTGAAGGTAGAGAACAAGTCTAGGAGGGAGAAGACTTTCCCCCTTCCTCAGACTGACCTAGGTGCTGGCAATATGCACAGGGAGATCACTAGACTAATTATTCAGATCCAGAAATCATTTACAGAAGTGCCTCCCTGCTGATGCTGCAGTCCAGAATCACAGCCCTGTGCCCAGGTCAGAGGTGACTGTCAGACAAGACACACTGGACAAATGCAGAATACATAAGAGAGTTCAGTAGATTCTGTTGGGAGCAACCTACACGACTTATCTTACAAAAATTAACCAAAAATGTGGACACACAAGACAAAGACCCAAACAAAAAATTTTCTTGCTGGGACTCTTACATGCCCAACTCAATCAATACTAATGGGAAAGTCACAAAGAGGACATCAAGAGCCAAGGATGAAAAAGCACATTAGCAGCTGACTCTCATGTAAACAATTCAATTTTAACCATAATCCCACCTAAAAAAACAGGAATATACTGCTGACTGCCCTCAAGTGGACAAGAAAGGCTGCTTGTGAGAAAGGATTTTAATGCAGCCCACTACACCAGCAAGTGAAATTTCTCCTTACATTATCACTGGCTATCACATGGTTGCAGATGTGATGTGAAACACCCTTAGTTCACTATTTGAGAAGCAAGAAGTTTGTATGCACCACATGGAAATATCATCATTCCCATTTGAAAACAGCATCCCTTCATCTCCCTCTCCAGAACTACAGCCATTGATAAAGAATACAAAATACAAGAGTGCATAACTCATCATATGATAAGAAACAGTCCATCTCAACTAGAGGCTTTGAAATAATGAAAACATATCAAGTAGATAATATATACACATTTTAAATCTGCCACATCCTGAAAGATTATAATGGACTCTAACTAGATCAGTGAAATACTTCTCACAGATATTCTGATTTTATACCCTCCAAGAAGAGTAAAGGTTCAAAGAGGCAGCATGCTCTGAAAAGAACATACAGAATTAGGAAGCTAGAAGAAGGATAGTTATAAGAGACAGCAGCTTATTCTTACCCTGGGGACACCAGTTTCAGAGAAATTACTTACCTCTGCAATTCCAAGTAAAAGAAAATTTCCTATTTATTCTTGTTTGGTGATTCTAGGCTCACATGGGAGTTGAATCTACCAGAACAAAACACCTTCCTGAAAGCCATAATCATCAGTTTTCCTGACATTATCACCATAATACAGAGGCGACAGCCACCAATTCCAAAAACATTAGGTCTTCAACAAGAAAAAAAGAACCAAATAATTTAATTAAAACCCCCTTGAAATAGAAGAGCAGACATTAGAATTTTTTCTCATTGCCTTCTGGCTTCTAAACCTTTGCAAAGCTCTTCTGGCCTGCTTTCCAGTTTTTCCTTCCAGCCACAAGAACTACATATGCAATTTTGTTTCCAAGTATATTTCACCATTAGGTGCTAAAACAAAGCTAAGAAAAACAGCACCACAAAGCAAAACACACAAGGAACACCTGAAGGGTGTCACCACAGCAGCACTGGAAGATAACTCTGTGGCTTCCTTAGTCCCTGTAGCTACCCTGAGAGAGCTGAGCCAGCACACATTGGTGTGACTTGGAAACTCAGGGACTGGGTTGAACAGGCTCCTCCTTGTTTCTTGGTGTTTGCTGTGACAGGGAATGAGGACATGAAGGAAGCGACTGGAACTGAACAAGAAAACAAATCTAAAGAGCATGAAGACACATTGGTCAAGGACATGGAACAATTCTCCACCCATGGGGAAAACAACTATCACTGCAGAAAGGACCCATTTCAGCTACCTGTCCAGCAGCTTTTTGCCCATGAAACAGTTCAAGCAAGCCCACCTCCACAGGTGAAGTGATTCTCGCTTGCCTCAGGCTGGACATGGCTCTGTGAACCCTCCAGGGCTCAGCACATCAGCGCAATGCAATGGGGAGCTCACATCAAACTCACAGCAAATATCACTACTGCCTTTTGCATCCTCAACTATCCACAAATACAAACCAGAGAATGGGAAATTCTCTTCTCCACTGCCTGCACAAATACAGACCATAACCCAGGACATAGTTATGCATATATTGCAAATAGTCAGGCATTCTTAATTGTCCATGAGTATGTGTACATTAAATGAGTACAATTCCCTCCCTGCCCTCTCCTTATGGGAGAGGTATTCCAGTGCCTTCATTGGCTTTGTGGCTCTGCACTGGACTCACTCCAGTAAATCCATACCTTCCTTATACTGGGGAGACCAGAACTGAGCACAAGCAGGATCACCTAGAACCAGCTGACCATGGATGGAGATTCCATAACCTCTCTGGAAGACCTGTTGTGAAGACTGAGCATCCCCAGTAAGAAAATAAAGTTTCCCATCTATTCTGGAGAAGTGCAAGGGAAGAGAAATAAAAACACTGGTGATTAATGCTCTGACACAAAAAACCCTGAGAAGTGGGAGGAAGTCCCTTCGCTCTGTTGTGATCCAGCAGCCAGACCCCTCCAGCAGCCAGACCCCTCATTTGGTTTCCCTCTCTCCACAAAACTAAGCTGATTATACACCACCTAAAACATTTATTTAGCTTTGCTGCTGATTCCATCATCTTATAAGATGTGTAGGAAACAGGAGTATCAGGGGAGGGAAGTAAGAGTCTCAAGACCCATACTCTTTTAAAGCTAAGCAATTACTCACCAGAAAACTGGTATATGCCATATTACTACCATAATGACTTCTCTACATCCTTATTGTGCTCAGCACTCTGTATTTGCTCTCTGTTACAGCTGGTTATAGCTTCTTTGCCCCACTCCCCTTAAAATCTATATTCAGGTGCCTTGAGCTCTTTTTGGTCTGATAATATCTGGGGCAACACCAAGCTGCATCAAGGCAGGACCAGCTATGGCCTAAGTATGGGCTCCACAGATGGGATCCCACGACACTTCCTTCCCCCTCTCACCTTTCTCTCTGCACTCTACACAGGCAAAGCTGCTTCCCAGGCCACATTCAAACAGAGTGCCTCAAACAGAGAGGAACATCAGAAGTCAGAAGAAACACTTACAGAGCAGCTCATTAAAAGATCCCAATGTGATTTAAATTTCACCTCAATACACCAACAATTCACTTGCAATGAATACCTCTGCTCCTCCTACATTTGCACGTACCCAGATCAATCTGGAGCATCACACTGAGTCTAACCCCATCAATATCATTATAATAAAGTCCAGGAAACAAACAGGGTGATTAAGAAGCTGGACAGGTGGCAATTGAGGTTCCAGTCCATCTAGTTATCTGCCCTGCTGCCATCGCCACAGCAACACAGGGCCTCTTGTGGGCAGATCCTGCACTTCCAGTGAAGAGCCAGATCTCCATCCCAGGCTGCAGCTCTGCTCTCCCCTCACAGGATCTAGGGATCAGCAGCAACTCCCAACTGCTTAGCGAAGAGCCAGATCTCCATCCCAGGCTGCAGCTCTGCTCTCCCCTCACAGCACCTAGGGATACAGCAGCAACTCCCAACTGCTCTGGTTGATGGGCATCTTTCTTGTACAACAGTTATTTCTGCCAAACACTGCAATAACACAGGTGGGATTTGCCTTCTGGCCAAACCTGCACCAGAAGTTCCCAATTAATGGTTGATGACTTGGAAATAAGCTTGGGCTTAAGTCCAGCAAAGTGTAGGTGCATTTATGAGGAAGTTTGGGAAAGTGCAGAAAAAATTAACATTTAACTGCAACAAGGGCTTCTCTCCATCTCACTCCCCAGTTTAGTGCTACAGATTAGAAGGAACCCTAATCAGTGTCTTGGAGAAAGACATTTTCCCTGGTAGGATGAACTGTCTAGCAAGAGCATCAGAAGGGACAGGGATAAAAATATAACACTTATGAATGGATGTTTATGATTTTTTAGGCCTTCTTCTATTTGACCTACCTTAAACTTGTAATCCATTATTTGCTCCTAGATTCTCTGGCCTTGATACAGACAACATATACAGTTTCATGCTACAGATTTAATGAATTCACTATTGAGCCAATGCTACTAATCCCATCTTTCCCTTTGAAAGTCACTTGGCATTTGCCTTCAGCAAAATATTTTTACAAGAGTGAAAAAAGCAGGAGGTGAAGAAAAAAAAGTGATTTATTTATTTCAAACATGCTTCCCCCTCCACACCTCTCCAAAGGTTATTTCATTTTAAAAACAAGCAGCTCTAACAGTGCTCCATCACACATATCTCTCCCTTCCAACACAAAACTTCATGTAGAGACAAGAGGAACTCCAGTGAAAATGCAGTGTTTTAATTTAAAATTATAATCATCACAAAGACTATGAGCCTCCTCTGCATCCATCCCCACTCACTTAGCACTGGTGAGATGAGGAGGAAGTTTTGCCTGGGCAGGAACAGGGTCAACCAGGCTGCTGTCACTCCTGCATTGCCAGCACTGATGAGGGACTTCATTTTGGAGCAGATCATTGCCAGCCTCACAGAAAACTAGTTGCACCTTCCCCTTCCTCGTACACTCCCAGTAGGAGGCTGGCTCTATTGGTATTATAGTATAGTGCTAGACTTCATCTGTGCCCTCCAAGCTGAAATCCTCAGCTTGGGAAACAAACTTGTGCACCAAACGCTCCCTTGGACAAGGCAAGCCCTGCACAAATATTTGTCAGCAATAACCATACTGCTGCCTTTTGTGCTGCAGGGCTGAGGCAGGGTCAGGACTGCTTCAGAGGCTTCTGCTCCTCACATTCCTTCCCAGTGCCAAGGCTCTGCTGTGTGCAGGGGCGATTCACCAGCCACACTCATGACAGTTTTGTTTCACAGATGACTGACCTTGAAGTTTCTCCTGTGGTTCAAGGTGGACAGAGTAATAAGACAGCTGAATAAAGAGAGAGCTCTCAGCTCTGTATAAAAACGTGTTAGACCAGGAAAGACAAATATTTGTATTTCAGTTCCACCACCACCATGGAGATAGGGGGAGGGAAGGGAAGAAAAGAA